ACTTAAAGGAATTATTTATTGGTGTGTAGTTATTGCAGTTTTATTCATTGCTTTCTGATTGTTTTTGTAGTTTTCATTTCTTACTCTCTTTCTCACTTCCCTTGTCTGTTGATGATTAACAGTGTTGCATTTGGATTCCTCTCTCTTCATTTTTTGTTTATCTTGTGTTTTGGTTTGTGGTACCATGTAGCTCACATATACCAAGTTGTTGACAGCAGTCTATTTTAAGCTGCTTGTCACTTAAGTTTTAACATTCTAAAGTTACCCCTTCATTTGTATTTTTTTCTCATTTTTTCTTTTGTGCATGTGTTTGTGGGTGTCCCTTAATTTATTGTAATTATACATGATCGTTCTATTTTTGCCTTGTAAGCTTTGTATTAGCTTTATATTTGTTTGATCCATTGTGTTTACTAAATGTTTTCCTTTGTCAGTGAGAACTTTTTTATTTGCTATATTTTCTTATTCATACTTTTGATCTTTTGTTGTTTACTTAATGAAATCCCTATAATGTTTCTTGTAATTCTGGTGATGAATTCCTTTAGCGTTTTCTTATAGTAACTAGCTCTTCTTCGATTCTAAATGATAGCTTTGCTGGGTAGAGTTATATTGGTTGTAGAACCTTGGTTTTCATCACTGTTACTATTTTGTGCCATTCCTTCGTGGCTTCCATAGTTTCTTTTGAAAATAGCTGATTATCTTATGGAAGCTCTTTTGTTCATAACTGACTTCTTTTCTCTTTTATGATTATCTCTTTGCTTTTAACCTTTGACATTTTAATTATGATGTGTGCTGGGACTCTTCGGGTTCATCTTATTTGGGACTCTGCACTTCCTGAACTTGTATGTCTGTTTCCTTCTGCATGTTAGAGAAGTTTTCAGTCAGTCATGTTTTTTTTTCCTTCAAATAGGTTTTCAAATCCCTTGCTCACTCTCTCTTCTCCTTCAGGTACCCTTATGATGTGAATGTGGGTATGCTTGATGTTGTCCCAGAATGCCCTTTAAACTATCTTCATTTTTTTTTCTTTTAGCTATTCTGATTAGGTGTTTCCACTTCCGTGTCTTCTTGATCCTGTTTCATCTAATCTGCTGTTGATTCTCTCCAATATATTCATTTCATTTAATGTATTCATCACGGCCCCCACTGGGGATCATTTTCTGACTGCCCCCCTTCCTCCCAGCCTATGGTTTCTAAGGTTTCGCTGAGTTTATCTGTTCTTCCCCTAAGTTCAATGAGCATTCTTATAGCCAGTGTTTTGAACTCTGTATCCAGCAGATTGCCTGTCTCCATTTCATTTAGTTCTTTTTCTGGAATTTTGCCCTCCTCTTTCATTTGGGACATGTCTCCTCATTTTGGCTGACTCACTGTGATTTTTTTTTCTGTTTATTAGGTAGATCTGCTACATCTCCTAGTCTTGGCAGAATGGCCTTATGTAGTAGGTGACCTGTGAGGCCCATTGGCACAGTCTCCCTATTCCCCTTAGCTGGGTGCACAAGGGGTATGTATCCCTTGTGTGGGTTGTGTGTGCCTCCTGTTGTAGTTGAGTCACGATTGTTTTTGGTATATCAGTGGGTTTAATTGACCAGTGGGCTACCTGGCTTTGAGGGTTGTTTATGACTACAGTGGATAAGTAGTTGTGTGTGGGCTGACCCCTCCTCCCCCAGAAGGAAAGTCACATTAACAGAGTCCTCCTGCCAGCCATTCTGCCCTTTGGATGTGTCATTTGTGGAGCTGGTTGAATGGTGCTCTTGTGTGTTATCAAGCTGGCAACCAGTTGTGTTGTTTCTGGAGCCTCTTGGGAGGGCACAGGTAGGGGCCACATGCTGGGAGTCATCTGCAGTTGGCTTCTTGTGCTGGGCCTAGAGGCTCTTGAGAGAAGCTATGCTGTGAACTGAGGCTGGCTGCTACTTGTGCCAATCTTGGGATGCTTTGGTGTGGGCACCACAATGTGAGCTGAAGCCACCTGTCACTTGTGTTGGGTTTCTGGCTGATTAATTGAAGCTATATTACAAGTCAACACTGGTTGCAACTTTATAATAGACTTGGAGCCACCTGGTGGTGTTGTAATGTACCCCATGAATCACACAAAGGACGACCCAAGAAGTCAAATTAAGAAGTCTTTTATTTGTGTGTGTGTGTGTGTGTGGGTATTAGCTCTCCAAATCTCGCAGCTCTGAGTGACTACAGTACTGAGCTTATAAAGACAAAAAAACCATATCCTGCTAGACGTTGGAATGTAGAGCTATCTTGTGAAAGCAAATTGTACAGAAGCAAACTGAGCAAAGTTAGTTATCTCTAAAAGTTAGTTATAGTTTTAGTTTTTGGAGCCATTGAGTCAAGGGACAACATTCCCGGAGCCACTGAATCAATGGAAAAGCAATTAAAGCAATTTTTGCAGTTCTGGTCCTCAGGCACAGGAAAATAACCCTTGTAAAGCCATAATGTGGGCTGGCAACATAATGGGGTAATTTATGTGAGTTTCCAGGTCTCATTCTGGAAATGGAGGTTTAACTACCCTATTGTTTAAGCAAGCAAATGTTTACAGTAGCCAGAATAACAGGGTTAAAATTTATACAGCAGTTTTTACCTGAGATGAATGTTACTATGCTTCATTGCTTCAATGGAAGTCACAATGCATGTTGAGAGCAGTCACCACTTGTGCCAGCCTTGGGGCTACTTAGCAAGAAGTACAGGGCATGATTAGTCCAACTGCTTCTGTTTGTAGTTTGTGGGCTTTTCAATAAAGTCCACAGCATAATGCTACTTGCGTGGAAGCCCCTGGAAACAGCTCGTTTTGGGTGGGTAAGGTGGGTGGGACTGCATCTCAAGGAATCACCAGAGCTGGGCAAACATTGTTAGCCAGGTTAATGGAGAGCTCAGCTTTGGTACCTGTGTGGGGCTGCCAGTTTTGTGAGATTAAGACTGAACAAAGAACAGTGGTGCCTGCCAGCACTTCCATCCCCGGAGAGAACTGCCTTGACCCCTGACCTTCAAGCCCTTGTTCTGAAACCAGTCAGTTCAGCTCCTCTATGTATGTCCCTGGCGCTCTTTGTGCTGCTGCCCCTTGGCTGGAGCGCAGAGAGATTGAGTTTGTGAGTGAGCAAGTAAGTTTGTGAGGGGGCGAATTCTTGCAGTGGGGAAAAGGGGGGTTTCACTCGAGGAATTCCTGGGACTCATTATGGACACTCCTCTTCCCATCACTTTTGCCCTGGGCTGGTGAGCCAGGTGAGAGGCTGGCACCCCTCACTCTTCTGGGGGAACTTTAAAGCTGAGATAATCCTCTGATTTTTAATACCTACACCGTTATTGTGGGACCTGCCCCTACCACATCCCTGTCCCTTCTACCAGTCTCATTGTGGCATCTTTATATTTTTTAGTTCTAGGACTTCCATTCAGCTAGTCTTCAGGTGGTTCTCAATAATGGTTGTTGAATAAGTTAGTTGTAATTTTGATGAGATAATGGGAGGAGGCAAACACAGCATTTAGCTCCTACCATCTTAACTGGAAGTACTGCAGTATTCCTTTTTTTTTTTCTATTTAAACAATAATTTTATTGTTTGAGTACATAGATAAATTTATGCCACTTGGGCAGAGTCTGTGAATGTCTTCTATGTCTAGTAGCAGGGGAGGATTTGTTTGGTCTTATAATATTAAGCCAACCAGTGAATTCGGCTATTGATCAAAATTGGACAGAATTTACAAAAAGGATCAGAATCCTTTTTTAAAAAAAATTATGCTTTTTAATTAATTTTTTATATGTTCCTCAAGATGCTTTTGAACAGCAATAGTTTTCTTAATTAATAGTAGAGATGCTCAAGAACATCAGGAGCGAATCCTTTTGACTTAAGAATTCTCAAGATTGTATTGCCTGTCACTTATGTAACACTATTTTCTCAAGATCACACTGATTTGTGTTGAGTCAGCCCCTTCTTGGCCAGTTTGTAGATCTGCTGTTTCACATTGTCACAGGTCAACTTCAGCCAGGTGGGGATGATGCAGTGGCAGGGCAAAGCTGACTAGGACAAGCCTTTACTTGGGAGCATGCATGCAACCCATCATGGCAACAGACAAGCAGCAAAAAAAGAGCAATATTTCTTTCTTTTAGACCAGTTACTTACCCACCGTTCAGATAGAAGTTGATGTGGACACTGAGATAAATACTAAAATATTTCTCTGCTATGTGGTAGATTTTCCTTAAATTATGAGAAACAATCAATAATTAAGTATTATAGCCCCAGAGCTGGCTTGGATCAGTGGATAGAGCGTCAGCCTGCAGACTGAGGAGTCCCAGGTTCGATTCTGGCCAAGGGCACATGCCTGGGTTGCGGGCTTGATCCCCAGTAGGGGGGGGTGCAGGAGGCAGCCGATCAATGATTCTCTCTCATCATTGATGTTTCTGTCTCTCTCCTTCTCCCTTCCTCTCTGAATCAGTAAAGAAATATATTTTAAAAAATAATTAAGTATTATAAAACCTAAATTGGCTTTCTTATTATAACTGGCATCATGTTGTGTATCTTAGTGCTCATTTCATATTCATGCCTATTGGGAATTACTCCTGCAGTACCATTTATTTTGAAAATTTGAATGTTAGGAAAGCTTTTAAAAAGTGCCACTGTGTGTAGAAAATGGAATGTTCTATGTAAAACATTGTTTTCTGTGTTTATGAACAATTGCAACTTAATCTTAGATTATCTAACGTATGGCCTGCTTAGATGATTTAAACCAGAAGTTAATGGTTATAGCAGTAAAGTGATATAAAAAGTGGCCAGGTAAATGATCAGGTTTAGTAACAAGTAGAGGCTTACTAGCACTATAAATTTTGAATTTATACAGTTTAAATTTATAGAAAGGAATTGAAATTATTTGTACATTTTAGTAAATGTGGATTTTCAATAAAAATAACTAAATGAAGAGATAGTCTCAACATTGTTTTAATATTGTAAATAGATGTTAGCTTTTGTCTGCTGGAGAAATGTTTTTAAATATGGTATCTTAAATTCTAGGATATGAAAGATGGCAAGTCCAGACAGAAGTAAACGGAAGATATTAAAAGCCAAAAAAACAATGCCTGCCAGTTGCCGGAAACAAATAGAGATCCTCCATAAGTCAAAGAATGTTGAAGCACTGAAAACAGCAGCAATTGGGAATAATGTGTCAAGTGATAATCAGAATTCAAGTGTTGTCATAAATAACAAATGTAGAGATTCTGAAAATGATGTTTCCTCATTGGACTCTAATAAAAATTCAGCATGCTCACAAAAAAGTGAAGTATCTTCTCAGAATTCAATAAAACCACTAGAAATTGATTTGGAAACAAGATCGCAATCCACTGAAGAACAAGCTGTATGCCCTTACCAAAAGCCAAGTAAACCAATAGAATCTCCCAGGAATCTGTCTACACAAGAGGCAAAAGATTCACAAAACACTTCTGAAAACTGTAACAAGGCAAATGTAATAAGATCCTGTTTTGAACAACAGGAAGAGGATTGTAATCTGAAATCCACTAGTAACCAACAGAGTGTATTGAGTAGTATAGTTCAAATGTCAAATTCTGCAGTAATCAATACCTTGGATAAAAGAGTTTCCCATTTAGAAACAAACTCCAATTCTGCATCGCATGATAAAAGGCAAAATGACATTTTGATTTTAAGTTCAGACAACCATTTTGTGCCTGTTGATAAAATTCCTACAGCAGTAAATTCAGTCATTTATAGTAACTGTACTGCTGACAGTTTGAAAAGTGAAGACTCCTATAGAACCTATCATTCTATCATTTCAAATGGTGAAAATACAGAATCAACATGGCTGTCATCACTTGACACAGATAGTAATAACAGTAAGTGTATACTTGTATTATCTTCTGGGGAAATCAAAATAATCACTGTCTTTTGGTGGGTTTTATAGTCTCAGATATAGAAACAGTAGAGTACGTACCCCGTGGGGCAAAAGTACAGATGTTTGGAAAATAATACCATAATTAATAAGTAATTATACAGGAATAAGCTATTTTGTGTACTCACAACGATAAACCTATTTTAGCCACACCCTGTATAGACAGGGGAAAGGTAAACAATGACAAATATTTCAGAGGATCTTGTTTCTGAACCATTCTTGGTGGGGAGGGGAAATGGTACCCTCTATATCCAAAGGCAGTAAATTCTGTCAAGAAATCAGTCACTTTTTCTTGAGAGCACAAAAAACCAAAAGGTGGTTTATAGCATTTGCTTGGTTTATTTCATCTACATATTTTCTTATTTTGAAGTTTTACTTATTAGATTAGGAGACTAATTGAAAGAGAGTGGATTTTTAAATTGTTGGTGAACTCATTTTTTTTTTCATAGAATTGACCTGTAAATCATGTGCCAAGTATATGCGCATATACATACATACGTGTGTGTGCGTGTGTGTGTGTGTGTGTGTGTGTGTGTGTGTGTGTGTGTAGAGCAGTGATGGCGAACCTTTTGAGCTCGGCATGGCAGCATTTTGAAAAACCCTAACTTAACTCTGGTGCTGTGTCACATATAGAAATTTTTTGATATTTGCAACCATGGTAAAACAAAGATTTATATTTTTGATATTTATTTTATATATTTAAATGCCATTTAATAAAGAAAAATCAACCAAAAAAATGAGTTCGCGTGTCACCTCTGACACGCGTGTCATAGGTTCGCCATCACTGGTGTAGAGTGAGAGAGAAATGTGCCAAGTATATGCACATATACATACATACTTAATGTATGTGTATGTGTGTGTGTGTGTGTGTGTGTGTGTGTGTGTGTGGAGAGAGAGAGAGAAATGCATTAAATAATTAACCAATGAAGTTCTAGGGTTAGAAAATCATTAAAATAGCTAAAGTATATTTCATTCAAAGTAGGATGTTTGTGTAGCTTAATGAAATACAAGAAAAAGCTGATTTTATAGGATAAATTTTGTGTAGGCTTCAGAGTGATCATTTAACAAGATGAATTTAAAATTGCTTAAAAATAGGATCACCTATTAAAAATATGTAGGACTGCCTAAGTAACTGTTTATAGAAATATTCTAACTACTTAAGTAACTAAGTAGAAAATTAAATGCTATAATTTATTCCATTTTTTCAGTATTAAATAGATACTAAACGTATATTAAGTAGGATTGAAGGGAAAATGCATCTGAGACCACAACCCTACCTATGATATTCATTTTAAAAAATAAATTAGGTTGTTGCAATTTTTTATACAATTGCATTTTCTAAAAAAATGCTGTCAATGGTCACATTTTAGTTTTTCCATTTGCTGAGAGGGTCTAGAAATTAGAGAATTGCCCTGTTTCTTTCATTAGAAGGAGTATTTTTATCTCTGATCTTTCCATTTCCCCAAGGCCATAATCATAAGAAGAGGATGTTTTCAGAAAACAAAGAAAATGTTAAGCGCCTGAAAACTTCAGAGCAAATTAATGAAAATTTTTGTGTAGCTCTGGAAAAGCAAACAGCATTGCTGGAACAGGTAAAATATTGGGGCTTAAATATTTGCTTCAGAAACTTCTACTTTTGATTAGTAAAATATGGTAAAAGTTGTCCTGGCTAGTTGGATGAGTGTCATCCTATACACCAAAAGGTCACTGGTTAGATTCCTGTTCTAGGTTCATGCCCAGATTTCAGGTTTGATCCTCGGTAAGGATGCTTATGGGAGGCAGCCAGTCAATGTTTCTCTCTTACATTGATGTTTCTCTCCCTTTCTCCTTCCCTCCCTCTCTCTCTCTCCCTCTCCCATTCTCTCTAAAATCAATAAAACCATAAAAAAAAATAAAAAGGAATAGTTGCCCTGGCAGGTTTTGCTCAGTGGTAAAGAGAATTAGCCCTAGCACCAAAGGGTCACAGGTTTGATTCCCAACCCAGTTGAGCAGGAGATGTCTGCCTGCCTGTCTGTCTGTCTGTCTGTCTCCCTCCCTCCCTCCCTCCCTTCCACTCTCTCTAAAAAATCTATGGGAAAAGTATCCTCGGGTGAGGATTTTAAAAAATGTTAAGTTACTTGATCTCCACAATGACTTAGTACAGATGACTTTCACTTGATGCAAAGCTGTATATGAAAAATGAATTAGCAGATGGAGGTATTAGGGGAAGATAATTATTTACATTACCAGGATATCTCTAGTTACTTGAGAATGATCCTATGCAGAGTGACCCTAGATAGAGTGCTCTGGTAGAAAGAGTATGGGATTTTCAGTAATTATTGCATTCAAATCTCTTTGTGAGTCATATACCCCAGGGACTTGAGCTTTGCTGAAAAATCTATTTTGTACTGGTAATGAGGTTCTTTGGTCTGTATTTGTAGCTATTTGTAGAAATTATCACAATTGCTCACTATTTCAGACAACCTAAAGTTCATTGCATAGTCCTGTTACATTCAGGTTTACTTGCCCTAATTTCCAAGTTTACATAGGTATGCTGTATTATCTGACATTTTGCTTTATAGTATCATTAAACACATGTTTTGCTTTCATTTTTGCCCAATTTCATCTCATTGTATTACAGTTTCCATACATGTCTGATCAACTGAGTTTAAGAAACTTCAGTTTTAGTAGGTCCTGTTTTGATTACCATATTTTGTAATTTTACTGTATTTACCACTAGAATGCCACAACTAAAAGACATTAAGTAGTAAATGAATGCCTGTCAGCTGTAATGGAACAAAAATGTCCTGATTCAAACCATTCTGCTTACTGTATCCAAAACAAAAACACTACTGGTTTTTAAAAACAGGCCATTACAATTATGTAGTTTCATATTATACGAATGTATATTCATATAATACCTGGAAGCCTTTTTGAAAGATGAATGCTGAACCAGCTTAATAGATGAGTCAACAGTTTTTCCCTTTTTATCTCTTGTTTTCTTCCAGGAAGACCAAAAGAGACACTAATAAAAAATATGTAAATATTCTATTGTTTGCAGGAAAAGGGTACCAGAATTATGGTAACCATGGATGCAGTTTAAGAAAATGTTGAAAAATATTATAGCTGTGTCTTTTTTTTTTCTGTACCCTGCCCCCCCCCCCAAGCTGTGTCTTATTCCCAGTGATTAGTAACTGAATTCAGAAATAAGGTCTGATATGGATATATAAAGATGAAATTTAATGTGTGAACGTTTTAATTTCACTGGCATGGAAAAATCAGGGTTTTCCTTCACTCTTATCTGTTTCACAAAATAGTTGGTCCAAGCTGACACAGAAAATAGTCCTTCCCAATGACATTTAGGGAATGCAGTCTATTTTATCTTCTCACCCATCCCCCCACCCGGAAGTTTATTGCACATTCCCCAAAGACAACTTGGGTTTAAGCTAATTCCTATCTTTTTACCTACCTCTAAATAGCTGAGCTAGCTTACTCTCACTTGATGTTTTGATTCCTGTTCAAACAGTAAACTTTCTAAACCACATCTGTTTTTCTTCCTTGAATCCCACCGGACTAGGGTCTCCCGTTCATAGGTTGTTCTTTCCTATGGGAGAATTCTGGGGCTGCTGACTCTTCTTTTGAGGTTTCATAAGGATCTTGGCTTAATTGGTGCCAATTAAATTATTGAAGTAGAGGAGTTTTTTTTCTAAAATCCAAGTTAGTCACTCCATCCACCATCTTAGATAGTTGAGGCACATTGGAGATACAATTGCCAATCTTTGTTCAATCTTTAGGCTATTTTGTCTGCAATCTGAAAATTGTATCTAGGACTTCCATCTGATTTTATAATTTTAACACAGTGCCATTGGCAGAAGACATTCATAAAGTATTTGTTGGAGGTTATTGTGTCTGTCCTCTACATGAGGAACAACACCATTAAATGAGAACAAATGTCCAATCTAAGAGGAATCTACCAGTTGGTGGATATTTAGTCCAAAATAATCAAGTTATCAGAGTCTGCTTCCATCTGAATCACCAGGAATACTTGTTTAAATTGTGGTTTCTTTTTTTTTTTTAATTTTTTTATTGTTGTTGTTAATCCTCATCCAAGGATATTTTTCCATTGATTTTTAGGGAGTGGAAGAGAGAGGGAAAGACAGAGAGAGACATCAATGTGTGAGAAACACATCAATTGGTTGCCTCCTGCTCGAGCCCTGACCAGGGCCTGGGCTAGGGAGGAGCCTACAACCAAGGAAACGTGCCCTTGACCAGAATCGAACCCAGGACCCTTTGGTCCATAGGCCAATGCTCTATCCACTGAGCCAAACCAACTAGGGCTAAATTATGGTTTCTTAAGCTCACTAATAGTTGAAGACTTCTTTTAGGCTACTCTTTTCTCAAACTAACAGTCCCCTTTCCAAGAAATTCTATTTGGTGAATCCAGGGGAGAGCCTGGGAATTTGTGACTTTTTAATCCTGAGGATATGTTTCTCATTGATTTTTGAGAGATAGTAACGTCGATGTGAGAGAGAAACATTGATCAATTGCCTCCTATAAGTGCCCCAACTGGGAATCAAATCATAGATCAACCAATGCAGATATGTGCTTTGACTGGGAATCAAACCCACAACCTTTTTTTAGTGTACGGGAGAGCTCTACCCAATTGAGCCAGCCATCCAGCCAGGGCAAGAATTTGTGACTTTTAATAAGTATCCCCTGTAATTCTTCCTCACCAGGAAGTTTGACAAACACTGTGGCATTTGCTTGTTAGCAAAATGTTATTCCCATATTCAGAACACTGAGATATTTCTCCAAGGTTATGAACTTCACTTATTGACCCCAGCCAGTGAACTTGCAAGCGTGCAGTAATCCATAATAACCACATGAGTGACAGGTAATGGCTGTCAGTAAAAATAGTATTGGTATGTGTTTCTGAGTATTTTACATAACACATATTTTAAGCACTTATTGAATCAAATATTTAAAAGTTGTGAAAATATTAATGACAATCATATCTAATAATGTTGAGAAACTTTTGAAGAAATATTAATGAAGCATTACAGAAGAAATCAAGTAGAAAATAGTGTTGAAGAGTAAGAACAATTGAAAATGAGAAGGAAAAACCTTAGAAATAATCAAATACTGAATTACATCCAGGTGATATCAGTATAAAAGAGTTTAGCATACAAACTTTTAAGTTCCATTTTGAGCACCAAGAACAAGATATTAGGGTAAAGTTGTAAATATTACTATTAAATACTTTAAATGTATTAATGCAGGTTTTGTTATTAAGAGAGACTACCTAACTTTGTTATAAAAGTTGTGTATATGACCATACACATTGAGCAAATAACTACATATGACTGTTCATGGCAGGGTCAAGGATCAAACTTTCATAACCTGCTCCATCTCTACTACAGACCAACCAGCCATTTTCATTGGGCTCTGATTTCAGATAAGTGGAGTTCCTTTTTATGGAATAGTAGGTTTAAGTTGTATGTTCTATTGAATTTGATACTCAACCTTTAAAAAACTTACTGGTCTATAAATGTAAACATAATAATATAAAGTATACTTTATTGGTTACAGAAAATAGCAAAGCTTTTTAAGAAGTAAAAAAAATTGCTTTTAAATTTGAAACAGGGTATTTTGGTTTTTATTTTAAAATTCTAGGTCAAACATTTGATTCAACAGGAGATCTATAGTATACATTACAAACTATTTGATAACAAACTAAAAGAATTGACTGAACGCATTGGGAAGACACAGTGCAGGAATAAACATGAAGCAATAGCTGATGAACTCTTCGTAAGTTTCTAATTTCCCTTGATTTCCTTTGAGTCCTTTTAAAAAGTAGAATTTGGTGATGTTTTATATGTTAGGGAAGGAAAACAATATAGGCAGACCCAAATATGATCTCTGGCCACAAACCTGATGTATGAGATTTCCATAGGTTAAGAATTCATTATATCTTAGCAGTATTGGCCCTTGTCATGTACTTTTAGAAATAGCAGCTATTCTGATATTGACAGGCTTAATACATAGGCAATTTCTTTTAATTCAAAATACAAGGTGTCCCCCCAAAATGTGTGTTTTAATAAACACACTATAAAGGCAGTGTTTATTAAAATACATTTCATTTTCAAAATGTAATAGGATCTATAGCAGCTGTTAAAGTGTGTATACATTTTGGGGGGTACCCTATATAGTCTGTATTAGAGCTTGTGGAACCAGTTTCAAGGGTTTTTTTTCTTTCAATCTTCAGTATACACTCACTTGCTGATTGGTGTTTCTACCAACATTAATTTTATTATGGACTAATTTGAAGTTTGGCATTTTTATTTTCCATTCTAGAATATTATACCAGCATCAAACATGATGTTTTTAATTGAGTTCACATTGGCTTATAACATTATATGTTTCAGGTGTACAATAGTATGTAATCCAGTATCTATACATTGTAGCATCCTTACCACCAAAAATCTAGTTCCCATCCATCATTATACCTTTGACCCCTTTTACTCATTTCAACCTCTCCAACCCCACTTCCCTTCTCATAACCACCAATCTGTTGCTAAGAGTTTGTTTTTGTTTTATTTGTTTGAGTAAAATACCATTTTGCCCTTTTCTGTTGATTCACTTCACTAAGTTCATCCATGTCACAAGTAGCAATATTTCCTTTTTTTATAAACTGAGTAGTATTCCATTGTATATGTACCAAATCTTTTATCCATTCATCAGTCAGAGGATGCATCAGATGTGATTTAAATATTTGGCTTGTCTAAGAATTTCTCACTTATTTGGGTGGATAAATAAGTCTAAGAAAAGTACTTTGGCAAATTGTTTTCACTCCATCTCTATATGATATGTTTTTTAGTACTCTGGTTTTATATTTATCTGTTTTTTTCTTCTAGGCAAAAATAGCACAACTTCAAAGACGTATTAAAAAAGTATTGTTATCTGAAAGGAATTGTTTGGAACCAAACATGTCATCCAGTAATACATCCTTTAAGGTTGGTATAAACAAAGTTTTTTTTTTGTTTTTTTTTTTACCTGTCACAATAAAGTTTATTATGAAAACAGGCTGGCGTGGGGATAAGGGGGCAGACAAGTACATATAGGTTGGGTGGCTCAGGTGAAATAGTGCGGCTTCTTCACATTGATGCCATACTCGCTGAGGGCAGGGGTCAAGTCCTCCATGGTTAGAGTGTACTTGCGGTCCTTGCTCTTGCTTCGGGAGCTGCCAGAGGCTGTGCCCTTCATTTTGCAGTGCGTCGTTGGCAATATCTGAGATGAATTTCTAGGCAGCTAGGGAGATGAGCCAAATTATGCGAGGGTCTGAGGCCTCAAAGCCAGCGCGGTTCAGGTAGTAACCAGTCACTGCATCTGGGATCGTAGGCATGTAATCCTCCAGCTGCATCAGGAAGTCCACCAGCGGCGTGCTGGACACCACCGGCTTCATGTCTCCGTTGGCCGCACTCGGCAGCACATAAACCCCGTTAGACCTGCCCCATCCTGCCCCATCCGGGGCCGCTGCGCCGCCTCCCTACACCGGAGCTGGAGGAGAAGCATCGCTGTGACGAGTGGAGGGCCCAGGGCCCGGCTGGGTTGGCCTTCCCCACCGGCCCCTCACCCGCCCCGGCCCTCACCCGCCCCGCGCCTCCCACACCGCCACGGGTCCCGCGCCCCAGGCCGCGGCTCCAGCCCCAGGCCCCCCTGCTGTCCCCCGCAGGGCTGGCCTTGTTCTCCGCAGCGGTGCTGGCACTGGCGCTGGCGGAGACCGCGGTGGCCAGGCCAGAGGCAGCGCAGGCCGGGGCCGCCTCGGGGTCCGCGCCGGAGCCTTTTTTTTTTTTTTAAATATATTTTTATTGATTCAGAGAGGGAGGGAGAGGAAGAGAGAGATAGAAACATCAATGATGAGAGGGAATCATTGATTGGCTGCCTCCTGCACGCCCCTTACTGGGGATCGAGCCCGCAACCCAGGCATATGCCCCTGACTGGAATCGAACCCTGGACCCCTTAGTCCGCAGGCCAGCTCTCTATACACTGAACCAAACCAGCCAGGGCCATATAGGAGTTTTAATAACTGTTATGACCCACATTATAGTAGTTGTATTATAAGAAATGAAGATGTTTCCAAACTAAGACAAAAAGATTAAAAAACAATATATTGATACTTAGAATGTTTCTGTGACTTTATCTCTGGGGAAGCTAAAAGTAAATGTCACTTGTATTACTTTCATAAAATGAGTAGAGAGCTGATTTGTGATTGCCTAGACCAGTGGTCGGCAACTGCGGCTTGCGATCCACATGCGGCTCTTTGGCCCCTTGAGTGTGACTCTAACACAGTGATGGCGAACCTATGACACGTGTTAGAGGTGACACGCGAACTCAGTTTTTTGGTTGATTTTTCTTTGTTAAATAGCATTTAAATATATAAAATAAATGTCAAAAATATAAGTCTTTGTTTTACTATGGTTGCAAATATCAAAAAATTTCTATATGTGACACGGCACCAGAGTTAAGTTAGGGTTTTTCAAAATGCTGACATGCCAAGCTCAAAAGGTTCGCCATCATTGCTCTAACACAAAATACCACGTGCGGGCACACACGTACAGTGCGATTGAAACTTTAGAGAATTTTTATTTGAAGTGGAGAATGAGTACGCAGATCTTCTGCACATAACAAGGTACGTTGGTTATCAAGAGGAAAGGTTTCGAAACGTTTTGCTTCCTTATTAACAGAAATTAAAGCATTTCTCCTTGAGAAGGGTGTTCACTATCCAGAACTAATGAACGATCAGTGGATCCAAAAATTTTATTTCATGGTAGACGTTACTTCTCATCTAAATCAGCTTAATCGTAACCTACAGGGGAAAGGAAACACAATTTTTTCCATGTTAGAAGAAGTTATTTCAATTGAAAACAAATTATCTCTTTTTGCTCAAGATTTTGAAAGAGAAACTTTGATTGACTTTCCAAGCCTGTTGAAACATCGCCAAGAAAATAATTCTGATATTGACATTTGCTATTTCAAAACAACACTTTTAAATATGAGGGAAGCTTTTCTCAACAGGTTTCAGGAACTCAGAAACAGTAAAATGATGTTAGCCTTTGTTAGAAAACCTCTCAATGCTACTGTAACAGAATTAAATTTTTCTCCCTTTAATATTGACATTGGCAACTTTGAAATGCAGTTGCTGGATTTAAAAAACAAAGAACTGTGGAGCTCGAAATTTGAATGTCTTTGTGCTGATATAGAAATATTGGAGAAAAACAAATGTGAACTTAGTTCACAGCATAAGTGATCTACTTTGAAAGACCTGGAGAAGGAAGATATGTTGATTTTTAACACTTGGAATAGTATTCCTGACTCATATAATCAACTGAAAAAACTAGCATTTGCTGTTCTTTCCTTATTCGGGTCTACATATTTATGTGAACAATTATTTTCAAGCATGAACCTTATCAAGAGTAAATTGAGAAGTCATCTTATTGATGAGAACCTGGAATCGTGCCTAAAATTAAAAACAACAACATACAACCTGACTTAACCCAAACTTTCTAAGGAGATGCAAGGCCATTGTTCACATTAGTGTTTGTCAGTCATTGTCATGATTTAATTTTATGGATATTGTAAGGTAAATTGTAAGGGATTTAATTTTATCAATAAATAATATTGTTACTAAGTATGATATCAAGTTTTATTCAACATACCTATAGTTTAACTAAGACTTAAAACTTGTTGAATTTGTTATAAGATTATTGATAAAATTAAATTCCCTTTAATATTTGTAGAGCTGTAATGATACACTCTTTTTAAAAAAATATATTTTATTGATTTTTTACAGAGAGGAAGGGAGAGGGATAGAGAGTTAGAAACGTCAATGAGAGAAACATCAATCAGCTGCCTCTTGCATAACCCCTACTGGGGATGTGCCCACAACCAAGGTACATGCCTTTGACTGGAATCGAACCTGGGACCCTTCAGTCCGCAAGGCTGACGCTCTATCCACTGAGCCAAACCGGTTAGGGCTGTAATGATACACTCTTACTTCATTTCTGATACTGGTAAACTATGGTTTTACCTTAATCAGTCTTGCTAGAATTAAAAACTTATCAATTCTCTATCACTCGTATCTTTTCTGTTTTTTATTATTTTTTTCCTCTTTGTGATATAATTTGCTCTTCTTTTTCCAACTTCTTAAGAGAAAACAACATTAATGTTTACCCTTCTTTTCTACTGGAAAATATTTAAAGCTATATATTTCCTTCTAAGCACTGCTTTTTCTTAGCACCTTCTAAGCATCTTCTCAGTGCAGAGATTATAATATCATATTTGGTATATTGTATTTTTGTTTTCCATCAGTTCAGAATAATTTCTAATTTTCCTTATGGTATTGTTCTTTGACTCATGGCTTATTTAGAAGTGTGTGTGTTTAATTTCCATATATTTGGTACTTTTCTAGGTCTATTATTTTTACTGATACCTAATTTCATTTATGTTAGAGAACATACTTTGTAAAATTTTAATCTTGGTAGTTAATTGACACTTATTTTTAAGGCCAAGATATACCTTCCCTTGATGAATGTTCCATGTATACTTGAAAATAATGTTGGGTGTAATCTATATATATAAAGAAGTAATATGCTAATTGGTTCTAAGGGTATCCCAGTCACGACTGTTAAACAAGATGCGTGAGCACAGGTGCTGGTGGGTGGGGACTTGCGACAGCAGGACATGAGGCTGCCGCCAGGGGCAGCCCCCCCACGAAGGCACGCCCCGTCCCACGGTCCGCCCAGCCTAGCAAGGGGGCGTCAGGACAGGGGCGGGGCCTCAGTGGAGAGCTCTCAGCACTCCTGCGCTGGGGTCTGAAGGCACGGAGAGGAAGGGAGAGCAGATGGGCAGTTAGGGGGATTAGGCCAGGAGGGGAGAGCAGTTAGGGGCATCAGTTAGGCAGGCAGGTGAGCACTTAGGGCCTAGTGGTTCTGGATTAGGAGAGGGATCCCAAATTGGAGAGTGTGCAGGCCAGGATGAGGGACCCCCCTCCCCCACATGCACAAATTTCGTGCACCGGGCCTCTAGTGTTCTATAAATGTCACTTCTGTGTTAATTGTGTCAAGGTGATTGATCTTGGTGAATAATGGTTCTGAAAAGATGCCCTTGACTGATCCTCAGAATCTGTGAATATCTTACTTTATATGGTAGATTATCTGGAGGGCTCAGTATTCATAGTGTCCTTATAAAAAAGAGTCAAGAAGGTCACAGCAGAAAAGAGATGGGAAAGTGGAAGCAGAGGTTGAAATGATCGCACTGAAAATGGAGGAAGGGGAGTATGAGCCAAGGAATGCTGACAATTTCTGCAACCTGGGAAAAAGGAAACAGATTGTCCCCTAAAATTTCCAGAAGGGATGCAGCCCTACAAACAACTTGATCTTTGCTTAGTGAAACTGATTTCAAATTTCTGGCCTCCAGAACTGTGATGGAATAAATTTTTGTTGTTTTAGACTACCCAGTGTGGTAATTTGTTATATAGTAGCCTCAGTAAACTAATACAGAATGTGCTACCAGAGCATGTGGGATGCTGCCCTAACAAATAGCTGAAAATGTGGAAGTTGATTTAGAATGCGATACTGGATAAAAAGCTTGAATAATATTGAGGAATATGATTTTTTGAACACACACTCAGTAGAAATGTAGATGTTAAAGATTGCAAGGGGAGCTCATAAAGAAAATGAGCACCTTAGAGAAAACCTATATATAGTCATAGAGAATATCTAAGTCTTTATGAAAAGACTTGGGAAGAAATATGGATATTTAAAAAGCACAGTTGGTGAGGATTCTAAAGGAAAGGAGGACAGTGGAATCTTGCTACATAGTGGCAGGAAGCTTAGCTGAATTGTATGTCCTACAGTGATTGGAAAACAGAACTTGTAAGTGATGAACTTGAATTTTTATTAGGCTAACAAGATTTTTTAGCAACGTGTGGAAGGTTTGGCTTGGTTTCTTGCTTTTTATAGTAAAACTAGAGGCCTGGTGCATGAAATTTGTGCACGGGGGAGGGGAGCCCCCCCTCAGCCCAGCCTGCACCCTCTCCAATCCAGGACTCCTTGGGGGATGTCTGACTCCTCGGGATTGGGCGTAAACCGGCAGTCAGACATCCCTCTCACAATCCGGGACCACTGGCTCCTAACAGCTAACATGCCAGCCTGCCTGATCACCCCTAATTGCCCCCCATGCTTGCCTGTCACCCCCAAATGCCCCCCTGCCGGCCTAGTTTCCCCCAACTGCCCCACCCCGCCGGCCTGGTTGCCCCTAACTTCCCCGCACACCCGTCGGCATGGTCGCTCTTCACTGACCCCCCCTGTTGGCCTGGTCACAGCCTGCTGCTCTGTCGCTTGGGTGCCCCTCAATGACCACCCTGCCGTCCTGGCCGCCCCACGCAGCCTGCTGATCAGTCGTTTGGGCACCCCTCCCTGACCCCCCTGCTGGCCTGGTCCCCCCACACAGCCTGTTCGGTCTTCCGTTTGGTTGTGATGGTCGCTTAGGCTTTTATATATATAGATGTGAGAGGGAAGAGATACACTGAAGAAGGAACTGTTTAGAAAAAAGAAATCAGGCGAACTTAATTTGGAAAATTCTGAGCCTATCCAGATAGTAAAAGACCCTAAACTTAGGAGGTTTTCTACCAGAAAGCATGATCTGGAGAGAAAGCCAATGATGTTTCAGAACAGACCTTTGGTGTAGGGCCTTGGAAAGATTAAAATGTCAGAGTATTCAGTCACGCAGAGAGCTCTTTAAAGAGAGTAGGCATTTAACTCTTTCAGCAGGCAGTTAACCTTATTTAGATTTAGTGTGTAGGTCCTGGATTCTGTGTGAGTTACAGTTCAATGACAGTTTTCTTTGCAAAATCCTTGCAATGCTCTTCTGGTTGGTTTTATTTTTCTGCCTCCACTGGATCTTCTGTTCAATACCTGCAGGTGCTGCCTGGACTCCTCAGTGATCTTGGGTGGGAAGTTCCAGAAATGGTGACCTGTGGTCACTGCCACTGCAGTAGATTGGGCCTGAAGCTGCTCCAGGTGTGGAGCAGAGGCACTGCTAATCCTTCGGTAGTCTAGCCCCACTGACACTGCAGTGGATTTGGCCCACTGCTCTTCCAGGTGTGGAGTGCTGGGGATTGGTTCCTGGCTGGCTTTTGCTAACATTGCTACTGCAGCCACTGAGGGTCACTCCTGCCCCAGGTGTCAGGTAGGGACACAGCTGACACTGTTGCTGCAGTGGTTCTGGCTGATTCTACAGGTATGGAGTGGGAGACTAGCCAACCTTGCTGTAGGTTTGGGGAGAAGGACAGGTCCCTGGCTTTTCTGGCACCCAGTGCAGAATATATCTATACTAATAATCTATACTAGCAAAAGGGTAATATGCTAATTAGACCAGATAGACTGGACATCCTTCCTGACAAAGCTGGGGCCTGGGCGAAGCCTCCCCAGGGGTCCTGGGTGCCTGCAGCTGGCCAGAGGGAGGGGAAGCCGGCCCAGGTCCTGGGTCCCTGCGGCCAGCCGAAGGGGGATGCTTGGGTCCCCGGTGCCAGAGGAAAGCCAGTGCCGGTAGCCGGGGGAAGGCCTACTCTTACACGAATATTCGTGCATCGGCCCTCTAATAGATAATAAAAAGAAAACTCAGGGAACTCACTGTGATGTTAATCCTCAATCTTGAGGTCCCCAAGCAATCTGCCCTCTTCTTTCCACCTTTTACGGTCATTTTATGATTATCTCTTAAAGTACTTCCAAGGCATTTAATTGTACAGGGAAGAGAAAAGTGAGTCTGTGCCACCTTGTCCTGGAATTAAAAGGATACCAATATTTTTTTGCTATTTTCTAATGTTTGAACCTATTTCTACATATAAAATCTGTACATGTAATATAACATTTCAGAATTCTTCCTTTGTGTACCTGTATTTTTGTTCATGTTATCCATCAGTAAGCCCATTAGTTATGCAATTTATCCTTTTGTATTGATTAATATACAGTGGGGCCTTGACTTACGAGTGTCCCGACTAACGAGTTTTTTGAGATACGAGCCGATTTTTTGCTTTGAGTTGCAAGCTAAAATTCGGGTTACGAGTCAGCTTCAGATACCCCACCGCTAGTTGGCGCAGCGAACTTCACAGTGAACGCCACAACATCAGCCCAGCATCACGTCTCACTCGTTCACTTTATGATTTGACATACGAGTAATTTGAGTTACGAGCTCCGTCACGGAACGAATTAAACTCGTAAGTCAAGGCCCCAGTGTATACAGATATTTTAAATACTGAAAATTCTCAACCAAATCATGGGCAAGGTTACAGTTCCAAGTTTAAAACAAAACCCAGTGACTAGAAGAGCAATTTGAAATTTAATCAGTGCTCCTGACTAAATAGTGAAGTATATTTAGCATGTTTTAAAAATTCTTATTGGTACACCGGTTAAAAATCGCTGACATAGATGTTTGTTTTTCCTTCCTTCCATTTAAGCTGGGAAGTTAAGTTGTACTATCATTTTTATTTCTTTGAAATATTTTTTAAAATTCATTTTTACAAAAACAGCAGTCATTATCATTAGCTATTGAAATACATATAATTTAATATATGTTTTGCCATCTGTATGCGAGGCTATTTTGAGAACAGTTTCTAAGTTAAATTTTACCTGTCATCAGTTTTATGTGGAAGAAGACAATTCCTAACCCTCCCCTCATCTGCCTTTACCTTTCCCAATTAACAGGTTGCAAACTCAGAGACTCTGAATTTGGATAAGAACCCAGTTAATAGTCTAGATGAAAGAAAGGCTCCTGTGAACTCTGGACCTTCCAACCCTTCAGAAAAAGCAATTGAAAAGATCGATTTGTCACAGGATCATGATGAGGCTGTTTCTGGAAGGTAGGCATTTCCACATAAATGCATAAACTTACTTATCTAAATATATGTTTGTAAACATGTACCCTTTTTGTCAGTTAAGCATAAAATAGCTTAAAGCTTCATATTTTATATAAAAAAATTTTTTTATTATGAAGGAATTGAATTGGTTCTCCAAAGCTTTTGTTGTTTTATCCTAAGTAACCCTTTCGGGTGGTTAGCTGTCAGGTTTTATTGTGATGCTTTCTATGTTTCCTATGGTGA